TTTTTTCAATTAAATAGATCAATCTGTTTGTGGATCTTGTTGGAGTTTTGGCACAACTGGTGCAGTTGAAGGCGCGTATTTCATGAAGTACGGTAAATTAGTGCGTTTATCTCAACAGGTAAAAAAACTTAAAATATAATTAAATATAAATATTATAAATAAAAAAAATATTTTATTATGATATTCCATGATTATAGGCACTTATTGATTGTTCATGGGGTTTTGGAAACAATGGCTGTGATGGTGGTGAAGATTTTAGATCGTACCAATGGATCATGAAGCATGGAGGTTTGCCTACAGAAGATGAATATGGTGGTTATCTTGGACAAGTAAATAGATTTTAGATACAACTATTTTACAGACAACATCAACATAGACATATATAATTAAAGATAAATAAATTTTTCATTATCTTAATGATATATTTCTTATCTATAACGATGATCTATATTTCTTATCTATTTTAATAAAATCTTAATTTAAAAATTTAATAACTTAAAAAATTAATTATCTTAATTAAAAAATTTTGAAAATTATTTTCAATTATTTATCTGTTTAGGATGGTTATTGTCATGTAAATAATATTTCAATGATAGCAAAAATTACTGGTTATGTAAACGTAACATCAGGCGATGCTAATGCTTTAAAAATTGCTATTGCAAAGCATGGTCCAATTTCAGTTGCAATCGATGCATCTCATAAAACATTTTCATTTTATTCTCATGGAATATATTATGAACCAACTTGTGGTAAGTAAATATAACATTTTCTAAATATTTTATCAAAAATAATAAAATATAATATAATAAAATTTTGTAAAATTTTTATAAAATAATAAAATTTTGCTTATAGGTAATACAGAAGAGTCGCTAGATCATGCAGTTTTAGCTGTCGGCTATGGCAAAATAAATGGAAAGGATTATTGGTTAATCAAAAATTCATGGTCAAATTACTGGGGTAACGACGGATATATTCTTATGTCTCAAGAAAAAAATAATTGTGGTGTATTAACAACTCCAACATATGTTACCATGTAAAAAAAATAACCAATATTATTTTTATGTTTTTAATGTAAAAGTATATGAAAAAGTTTAAGTTTTAAGTTTTTATAAAAATCACAGGTTTATATTTTTTTTTTAAATATGATATTTAAAAATTGATATTTTATAATTATTTAGAAATATAAATGTATGCTATAAATATAAAAAAATAAATTGTTCAAAGTATATGTTATTTGAATAATATGAAATTTTAAAACGTTTATATGTATGTGAATTAATATTATTTAAACATAAACAAAATGATTTTTATTGAAAATCTTTAGTATTTAAAAGCGGTTTTATAATTTTTGTTTTCTTTGTTTCTATTACTAAAATGGTTCAATAACAAATGATGTAAAAATACCATAAATTTTGGATTAAAATTTTATACAATGTAAATACAAATTGCGTACAATTGCAATTTGTTAATTCGCAAAGTAATATTTACTTGTTATAAAAAGCATAAAAGAACATAAAGAGCTACATAATTAAACAATATCATGTTCTCATTTGAAAAATACTACAAAAAATAGATAAAATTATACACAGACAATTCTATGACATTAATGTTAAACTATTGTTTATGTGTTGGAAAGCCTGATGCCGGAATTATAATAACAATTACTTACAAAAATATATGTAATTTCAATAGGCACAGTTTGCGTAATACAATTTTTTAAATTGTTATAAAATAATTATATACTGATAAGTATATACTGAAAGAGTTACATTACTGTGCGTTTAATATAATATAGAATTGAATATTTTTTAAGATACAATTGAAAGAATTATTACATAAATCAAATTGAAAATGTTTAAAACATAAAAATATAATTTAATTAATTTTTCGATTGTATGAAAACTTTTGCATGATAATATTATATCATTTCTTTTATCATCAATTCTATTCAGATTTCATTTAAATTTATCATAATTGATCAGTGTAATATGTAATTATCGATTTAACGTAATAATACATTTACTTAAGAAAATTAATTTTTCAAAAAATATAAATAATACATTTAAAAGATGAAACATTTTTGTTCAGAATATATTTTTAAAAAAATTAATTTTTAATGAATTCCATTATTTAATATAATCTTCATCTTCTTGTGTTTTAAATCTAATACATCATTTTCAATCAAAAAATCATATTGCATATTACATATTAAAAAGTAGTTTTCGTTACGTTTTCAATTCTTTATAACTTGTGCAATTTTGTGCTGTTCGGTCGATTAAATCATATTTTACACGATATTATAATTTTAAGAGTAAATTTTCAATTATTATATTATGAAGCGATAGATAATCTTCATATAACGGCACTATTATTATATATTTGATAAAAAAATTGACACAATATTGTATCATAAATTAATACACGGAATAAAATTTTTTAAACTCATATATGCAAAATATTTTTACGTTTGTTTTTTTTTTTTCTTTCACAAATGTATTCTTAATTAATATAAGATATATATATATAAAAAAAAAAGGAGAGAAAAATAAATTTTATAATTATTTTATAATGGCATTAACTTTGGTTCAAATTATATCTCTCCTTTTTATGAATTAAAATTGCAAGTATACAATATAACTTTATATATTTTAAAAATATTACTTAACTATCTTTAATATTATCATAAAATTAAAAACTTTAATGATACTAAAATTTTACACGCGATGTATATGTGCTATTTCTGATTAAAGATAATTCGAAATAGATTGAAACAAGTATTCTTATATGTAATATATGTGAAGAAATAAATGTTAAAGATGCACAATATTTCAGTCAAATATTCTTATATAATGAAACTAATAAAACAATGACTATACTTTTCACGAATTACTATGTCAAAAAGTATCAATATTATTACATTTACTGGGATCATACTATAATTAAATAATTGGATTAAACTGTATCACAATATTCATATAAAATTCCGTAAGATTTCGAAATATACAGCGATCAAAATATTACATAACTAATGAATATTACGTGTAACATTATCCTGCTTAAAGATTTAATTTTTTTCGACCACTTTAATTTTTATACGTACATTTGTAGAGCAATATGTTTAAGTACACGATAATACAGTTTTCAACAAATTAATTTTCACGGTCGAAAACGTGCAGGAATTAATTAGAAATATTAATATTATATATAACTCTTTAATTTTCACTTTTGTCTTTTTCTTTTACTTTCATTGTATATCACTTGTGGACCCTGCTCCGATCGGTCGCATTTGACGATCGATAAATAACTATGATCGATAATCGTATATAGCGATCTTGAGAAACAATCGATCCTCAATTTACGATCGATATAGTAGGAATGTTTAAAATGTTCACTTGATAAAAACGTTTCTTTTTACTCTTTTTTTTTTTTTTTTTTTTTTTTTTACTTTCATTATCGATAGTAGAGAATATAGAAATATTTTATATAAGTTGCCATTTAACGAACTAAGATATTTCTCATTTTAGACATATTTTGAAACTTTCCATTCCTCTTAATCCTACTTTTTTTTATAAATGTATTCTGTTTAAAGAAATCCCATTTCTAAGGCGTTATACAATGACTGTGTGTCCGAATGACTACTTATTCTCCAAAATGGGAAATTGTGGGCACGTGCTGCCGTTTCTTCGTCAGTATCATCGCCTATTACCACATACGTACATCTTCGACCAAATCGCGCGACTACTCTTCCAAAGCAACTTTCTTTTCCTAAAATATATATTACTTATACAACTTTTATTACATAAATAATATAATTAATAACAATTATATATCATATATTAATTATATATCAATTTAAATCATAAATATAATAAATATTTTAAGCTAAATACTTAAATATTTTTATAGAACTTACCAATTTTTGAAGCAGAATAAATATTCTCAATTGGAAATATTCCACCAATTCCAAAAAGTAATACTTTCGATAAAGCTGGTACTAATTGTGTGGTAGTGACTAGAATGTTAATGCAGTCACTTCTTTTATTTATAAGACTCAGACATTTTACAGCAGACGTTAGCCAATTATCAGTCAATACTTCGATCTCTGAACGAAGTTGCAACCATTGTTCTTGTTTCGCAGCACCCAACAAACCGCCAACATTATTTCGATAATTATTATAGATTTCTTTAATTTTTCGATAACGAAAAGCTAGTTTTCGCATCCAATCAACACCACCTCTTACACCAGAAGCCAAGCAAATACCATTGTTTGTAGACGCACATTGGAAACCATCATTGGCAAAATTATAAGAAGATAAATCTTGTCCATTATCATCTGATGATACATCATCGATGTGCACTTGATCACAGTCCTAAAAGTTAAATCAAAAAAGTTATTGTCAAAGATATAAATTATACAAAAATAATGCAATTTAATAAATAATAATTAATAAAAAAGATTTATTATTTTTTAATTAAAGTATTTTAATTCTTCATGAAATAATGAAAATATATGTTCGAAGAAATACCTCGACATCATTGAAAAAAAAGTGAGTATCGGCCAAATTAAATATCATCTCCTCCATTCTATACGCCACTTGGGCCAGAAGAGCCGGATCCTTACGGTGCTTCGTTGCAAATTGTCCAGTAAGTAGAGAGTGAAATACAACTATGGTTTCGTCTAGATCCCAAATGAATATCCGGTCAGGACCGGCTTCTGTCGTGTCCGCAGAACCTATACTATTTCCACTTCCGCTTTGGCGTCTTCCGCGTCTGCAAGGTTTCGCTGTCGTTCCTGAAACATATTCATAGAATAATATTATGTCACATATTCTTTTTTAATAAGTATATATTTTTATATTTTTCATTCTAAAAAAAAAATAAGTATAAATATTTATATTGTTCATATAATAAAAAAAATACGTAAAACAAATTATTTTTAAATTATTATTAAGAAATTTATTATTACGAGAAATTTATTAAAATTATTATATATAATATTATATATATATTATATATAATATTATATATAATTTTATTATATATAAAAAAATATTAAAATTATTATTATGAGAAATTTAACATAAGAATATTTAACATAAATTTAAGAAAGACATACAATTGTTTGCGTAATCACAAGTACAATCTATGATCGCAAAAACTATTTTTTTGAATATCTATATACTTATTATTTATTGCTGTTATTTGAATATTAATAATTTTATAATTTTAAGATCTCTTAAGATGTAATTTCTGAAATATCATTTTAAATTTTTTTTATAATTTATTTTATTAGTTATTTTTTAAAGTTGCAACATATTCAAGGAGAAGATAACGACGCAAAAAATAGAGATATAAAATCACACGTACGAATCGTGTTACCTTCGATGTTTGCGGTTTCTCGTGCGGTAAGATCGCTAGCATCGTGAGTTGTTGCGTCCAAGGTAAGTGCAGATTTTGTCGAATCTTTTTACAAAGAAGGAAATCGTTACTATAAATCATAATTGAAAATAAATCGTAATTGTTATAATATATAAAATACAACAAAATATTTCTATATAAATGGAAATAGCAAATAAAAACATTCATATTATTTTTGAAATATGAAATAAACATATAAATTATAAATTTTTTTAAATAAATTAAAAAAATAAAAATTATTTATAAGTCAAAAAACAATATTTACTAACATCAAATTGTTTAATTTAATAAGAAAAAAAAATTTTAATTAAGAAGATTTAATGAAATTAAAGTTTATCCTTAAAAAATTTTTACATATAAATAACTTTTTCTATGAAACTTGTACTTTTTCTTCTTATTAATATATTTACAATTTATAAATAATAATATAAAATAATAAATAATAATAAATAATATAAAATAATAAAGCAATAAGATTTACAATTAATAATTTAAAAAATAATAAGATTTATAATTATTTTTTTAATATTGTATTTATACAATATTGTAATATTTAATATTATAATTAATATTCATTTGTTTTTTCAGCAAATAATACAATCAGAAAACAATTCTATTTCTAATGAATCACTTTGTATGATGTAATACAAAGAGGAAATTCAACAATTCTCATGCAATATGGGAATAATAATTGGAATTAATTTCGATTTTATTAAAGTGATGAAATTTTCATCTCGGAATTTATTCCACAAGAATATAACTAATCAAAAATTAAAAAAAAAAACCAAAGGAACGTTACCAGCAAAATTTAAGTTTCCAATGTTAAATGAGGTGGGTGTTGCATGGTAACTGTGCATAGGATAATATCCGGAATACTGTAATGGTACCCTGTCATTTCCGTATAAACTGCTACTATAGGCGCTGTAATCTAATTTCTGAAAAATCATAAAAACAAATGATAACGTTGGAAAATAATAAATAAAATAAACTTCAGAGTTTTTAATACCTGTGAAGATGGTGATATATTTTGAGCCACATTAGGAAAATTTGTGGTGCCACTATTGTACGTGGCGTAAGACGAGTATTGAGTCATGGAGCTTGGCGTTGTGTACGAGGTCAGGTAAGAACTTTGCAAGCTTGAGGTGTTTTTTCCAGCTGTGGTTGACCCATAGGGTGGCGAGTTGTATAAACTAACGGCATAAAGTTTCTATGTTAAATGTACATTTATTAATGTTTAGTAGGTTAAAGGATTACATAAGTATTAATAATTCAGTGAGATACGTAGCATAAAGGTTAGGAACATAAAGATATAAAGTAATGAAATTTTTTAATAATATATAATGTAGAATATAGGAAAATAATGAAATATTAAAAAAATATTTTAAAAATGAATAAATTATAATATATATTATAATATAATAGATAAATATATGTATAAAAAAACATATATGGAACATACATAACATAATATAGCAGATAAAAATATGTATTATAAAAAACTTCGGAATTTCTTTTTTTTTTTCTTTCTTTTTAGAGAGATAAATGTAAATTTTTGTTGACATATATTAAATTTTTAACGTCGAATATTTTTTAAAGCAAAGCTACTGAAATTTGAGTTTCGTGAGAAATTGACATAAAAATGTGTATTTAGCAAGAAATAAATTCTATATGAATCATATAAGAAAAAGAGAGTAGATATTTGTAGACGTTTGTTATTTTATCTTTCAAAGCAAAAATGGTTCTGAACCTATAACATGTTCATTTTTATTATTTTATGAAATAATTTATCATAATTAATCTTTAACAAAAAAAATGTTTCTAATAAATATTATTAACATAAATATTATAACAATTATTCAATATGATAATATAAAATATTTATATAAAATAATATACTTATAGAACTTAAGTATATCTATATATTTTATAATCGAAGTTATAAACAAAGATTCGAAGAAATAAATTGATCGTCAGTTTCTTTCTATTTGAATATTGCAATATGATTTTTTATTATTAAAAATCAGAATAATTTCAAGAAAAAGAATATATATAGTTCATGAGAAATACGTGCCTGTTATAATATTGATTGGCTCCGTACAACGAACTGTAATCTGCCTTTTCCATAGAATCCGGATATTCTTGTTCCTTTTCCTCTGCATTCTCATCGATATACAATTCTCCGCTGGGCACGCTGTCGGTTTCGGGACAATCTTGCACCTCGTTTTTGACTTCTGTCTCTGCCAGTATGAGCAAAACGATTCACGTTCACGTGTTTTTAATTAAAATATGTTCGGTATTATTGTATTATTACAACATTAAGAAACATAGAACATTCTATTATGACTAAATTTGTTCAGTTTTTTTCATTAAAAATAAGAAATTTTAGTTTTTTCTATTTGAATTGATTCTATAATTTTAAAAAGTCAAGTTGATAATATTGTTGTTCTTATAAATTAATAATTTATTGAAATATTACATGATATTGATAATTTAATGTATCTATCAAACACCATTGTGTGTAAGTGAAATGAAATAATAGAAAAAATAAATGAAAAAAATTAAATATTTTGCACAAAATTCATTTAAAATTTATAAAACGATTCGATTTATAATCAATTATCAATTACAATCAATTTTTACTATTGTTTAGTCACGAAAAGTTAAAAATTTCAAAATAATTTTTTTATCACATTGAACTAAAAAAAATCTTTCTTTTTAATAAAAAATTCTAAAATTTTTTCAAAAAAGAAAAATAACTTTAAAATAAAAAATTAAAATGCGTTATTTGATCACACTTGTATTTCCTAATTTGTTGAACTCAAATAAAATGAAATTATCGAATGAAATTAAAATATTTTATATATACAGAATATACACAGAAAGGATTCTGTTTTGATTTCAAGATTATATGTTACTATATTTATTCCTAACAATAAAACTGAAGAAATATTTGATCTATGTTTCTTATTTCTTGTTGATATTGTCTAAAATAGAAGTTTATTGCTTAAAATTAACAGCAAACAATCTTTTTTTTTATCAATAATAAATAAAATAAAATAGAAAAGTGAATAAATATGAAGAAATGCGGAGAAAAATATTTAGTAACAACGAACGAATTTTTTTTTAAAATATTAAAATAAAATATTAACATTCTCATTGTAACTTTAATAAGTTTGAGACATTTTACTTGCAAATATTCCGTATTTATCATATCATTATATATATCATATTTTATCATTATATATATCATTTTAGAAGTTTAACTTTTTATATATTATATTATACTATTATATACTACTATAATATATAGTTAAATTGTAATACCATTACTATTACTATTATTACTATATAATACTATTATTATAATATCAGAAGATAAAAATAAAAGAAAAATCTGTTTTGAAAGGATTAACATAGTGAAAATTCTTTATATGATCGAAAAAAGTCAGCAATAGCCATTATCATTGTGATGAAAATATTTCGTTTCAATTCGAACTGCATCGCGCAATTAATTACACAAACAATTAGTGATGTTATAAAAGCACGAACAGTCCATTACAAAAACCATTCTATATCAAAGTTTTATAAAAGTGAAGAACAGTGCGGCATACCATCAACGACCAGGTATCTCGTTTTAATTCAATCGACTGGCGATATACACGTTCAAAAGGGAAGCGGGAAATACAGACGGAAGCCTTTTCGAAACGTTGAATTTAAACCGTTTTATTGGAGGTTTCGGTTATCATTGCGCGCTGCTACCTTACAAACACAAATTTTGCAATTCTTTTCATGAAAGATTTTTTTCATGGTTGTAATTTTGTATATATGTGTGTGTGTGTATAAAAAATATGAAAAAAAAAAAATAAATAAATGAATTGATCAATAAAAATTTTATATATGTGTGTAAAAATAAATAAATAAATAAATTGATTAATCAATAAAAAGAAAGAGAAATAGGGATGATTTGTAAACGGACCTTTAAAAGGGTAGCCTTTTAAATGGACCCGGAATGGAGGAGCTTTATTTACCATTGTTTGCGGCTCGAGGATGCTGTACCGAGGCCTCTGTCGACGATGACACGTTGCCAGCATTATCTAAAACGCCTGCTGGTTTCGTTGGATCATTGTCTTCGGTTAACATATCACTCTGCCTGAGAGAAAAGAGAATAAAGTTGCGATTTAGTATGATGATTGAGAATCAGATTTAAGTATGTTTTATTTTAAATAAAGATAAGAAATAATAATTTAAAATAGTGAATTATTTATAATAATTTATTATCTGTTAGAAATATTATTAATTTAGGAAAATTTGTTTTTTATTAGAGACAAGTAAAAGTTTCAAAACTCATTATTGATTTATTTTTTAGTTTGAATTGATTAATTCTAATGAAATGTGAAGAAAGTTGACCGTCTCAAGATTCTATAATTTGATCATTATATTATTATTTTTAGATTTTAAGTTTTAAAATTTCATTTATTATATATAAAATTTCAAAATATTGAATTTCTTAATCATCGAATAAATGATTGATTAACCATATGATCAATTAATCATAAAATTTGTTGATAAAATAGCTTAATTAATCATAAAGAAAGACTTTATATATAATTTAAATTTCTAAATCTTCAATTTTTGTAAACATTTCTCTTCATTTAAAAAATAAAGATGTTTTAATTTTTAAAATATAATAAATATAGATATTTCTCTTTGATATAGTATCGATATAGTATTATCGATATAGTATTATGAGTGATAGACATTCCTGATAACATGTCAATCTTATTTGCATATTAGTGAGTAGATCATACTTTCATGAAATTTTCTCAGTGTGGAATTTCGAATCTATCACAGTTTGTTTTACACGTGCAAAATGATAATTCTTATAATGTTTATCAAATCTTTTAAAATAATCTACTATTTTCAAAATTTTCAGTGCGGATAAATATTTTATATTTTAATCTTAAATAATATTATAAATTAAAGAACTTTGTAATAAATCAATATTTGAAGATAAAATTAGATATTAAATATAAAAAATATATTTAAATTATAATAATAATATATATAAATTATATATAAATAATATATATAAATTATACAATTTTTTAATTTCTTTATTTTT